ACACACATACAGACACATGCAGGTATACACACATACAGACACATGCAAGTATACACACATACAGACACATGCAAGTATACACATATACAGACACACGCAAGTATACACACATACAGACACACGCAGGTACACACACATATAGACACATGCAAGTATACACATATACAGACACATGCAAGTATACACATATACAGACACATGCAAGTATACACATATACAGACACACGCAAGTATACACAAATACAGACACATGCAAGTATACACATATACAGACACATGCAGGTACACACACACACAGGCACACAGACATACTGGTACACAGACACACAGGTACACAGACACACAGGTACACAGACACACAGGTACACAGACACGCTGCAGGGACTAACATCAGGGATGAACCAGTGGTACACCAATGTCTCGTCTCTGAGAGGTTTGATGAGTGAATGTTTGTAGTTTTGGACATGAGTGTCTTTCTGGACTAGAATTAAACAGGGGGTGACCAGTGGTGGCCTTCACCACCATAGAATAATCTTTTGGCCACCCCAAGGGACACTCTGTTTTTCGAAGAAACTTTTAAATAATATAAAACTAGAAAGCAACTCTTCCTCAGATGATCAGTTAGTTTACATACATGTATTATATATTCATACATGTGTGGCGGTGGCCATCTTGGATTGAATGTGGCAACCCAGTTTTCGGTAGTGACCTTTATTACACCTAGATGTAGCCGCACACCGAAATGGAAATCAACACGCTGCTTATTTTTTAAGTTCTCCAGCTCACAAAGTTTACATACGTGCATAGCGGCAGCCATCTTGGATTTTGATGTGACAGCGCAACTTTAGAAAATAACCTTTTTTATACCTAGAAGCAGCCGCACGGCAAAATGGAAGTTGGTACCTCACTTGTTTTTCATGTGACCATGCTCCCAACACGCACCGGTGGAGACAGGAGACAAATACAGGTTTTATTAAGAGAAAGATTTGTGATCTGTGTTTCTGCCCGTGTAGACAAAGTGCAGTGGTTCTGGTCCGGAGCTGCAGCTGAAGCTGGACTCGGTGACGAACATCACGTCGGGGATCTACGAGGAGATCCAGCAGGAGATGAAGAGGGCCAAGGTCTCCCAGGCTCTGTTCGCCAAGGTGGCTGCTAACAAGAGTCAGGTCAGTCCAAGATCCAGTTTTTGACTCGATCGTGACACTAAGACTCAAATACCTGACAGTGCACGTGGCACTGAGAGAGCTCTGGTTCAGACCCAAGCCCGGACTTGCATTCAGAGCAGAGATAGTCCAAATAATTCCTGGTGCAGATGCTTTGTGCAGATAAAATGTTTTGGACTTGTCTACAACATGTTTACACGCTCCGAACCTTTTGTTATAAACTTCTCTACACAATCAGCCCCAGTTTCCAGCTGACTTGATGATGTTTGATGGGGCTGATGAGGTGTGTGTGGGTGTGCGGGGGATCTGATTACCCGCTGCGGCGTACCGTCACGGCCGCGTCCTCCGGTAAACAATGCGGGTGATCAGGATCAAAGACGAGCCGGCTGTGAGCGGGGAGACCGACCGAGGAGAAACCTTCATGAAGGAAGGAGTCACTTCCACGTCTTCCTGCGTCGGAACAATTTTAAATGAAACGTCGTTTGAGAGAGAAACTGAGACAAAGTGACACGAGAGAGCGGCTGAAATGAATCAAACGCCCAACCACTGCGTCGACCAGCACCGACCGCTACGTGTCCCGGGACACGTTAACAGGAGCGGCACTACTGGGACACGTAGGACATGGAGTACATGTAGTAGTAGTACATGTAGCAGTACTTGTTGTAGTACATGTAGTAGTAGTACATGTACCAGTACGTGTTGTAGTACATGTAGTAGTAGTACATGTACCAGTACGTGTTGTAGTACATGTAGTAGTAGTACATGTACCAGTACGTGTTGTAGTACATGTAG